ATGGAAGAAATGTCCCTTTATATTGGTGATGGAAGAAATGTCCCCTTACATTGATGGTGATGGAAGAAATGCCCCCTTACACTAGTAGTGATGGAAGAAATGTCCCTTTACATTGGTATTGATGAAGAAATTCCCACTTACATTGGTGGTGATGGAAGAAATGCCCCCTTACACTGGTGATGATGGAAGAAATGTCTTCTTCCATTACCACAATGTAAGGGAAGTCCCCTTACATTGCTGGTGATGGAAAAACTGTTCCCTTAAATTGGTGGTGATGGAAGAAATGTCCCCTTACATTGGTGGTGAGGGAAGTAATGTCCCCTGACATTGGTGGTGATGAAGAAATGCCCCCTTACATTGGTGGTGATGGAAGAAATACCCCCTGACATTGCTGGTCAGTGCAGTGCCTCCTTACATTGGTGGTGAGTAGAAATGTCCTTTTACATTGACACTCATTTGTAGAAATGTTCTCTTAAAATGGATGTCAGTGAAAAATTGCCCTCTTATATTGGAGGTCATTGCAGAATGGAGATGAATCAGCCACTACTCAAGGAACCACTAGAAACCCCTGGAAGAACCCTGGTTGGGAAAGCGTAACATAGATCATTCACATCAGTCCCTGCCTTCAGGATCTTACAACCTAGGGTAGGGAGTTGGGGAATGTGACCATGTTTCAATGTTTCATGTTATCCCAACCCAATTGGACAGCACAGTGAATAAATGGTTCGTATGCCTGCCCAGCAACACTGAGGATGTCGGTTCAATTCCCAGCCATAGCACTGCCTGCCTGGAGTTTGCATGTTCTCCCTGTGCCTGCATGGGTTTCCTCCCCTACTCCAAAGGCATGTCGGTAGGTTATTTGGATCCTGTTGAGATTGGCCCTAGCATGTATGAATGTGAGTTAGGAACCTTAGATTGTAATCGCTTCAAAGGGCAGGAGCTGATGTGAATGTACAAATATACAGGTAAAACTCAAAAAATTAGAATATCGTGCAAAAGTTAATTTATTTCAGTAATGCAACTTAAAAGGTGAAACTAATATATGAGATAGACTCATTACATGCAAAGCAAGATAGTTCAAGCTGTGATTTGTCATAATTGTGATGATTATGGCTTACAGCTCATGAAAACCCCAAATCCACAATCTCAGAAAATTAGAATATTGTGAAAAGGTGCAATATTCTCGGCTCAAAGTGTCCCACTCTAATCAGCTAATTAAGCCATAACACCTGCAAAGGGTTCCTGAGCCTTTAAATGGTCTCTCAGTCTGGTTCAGTAGGAATCACAATCATGGGAAAGACTGCTGATCTGACAGTTGTGCAGAAAAACCATCATTGACACCCCTCCAAAAGGCAAAGCCTCAAAAGGTAATTGCAAAAGAAGTTGGATGTTCCCAAAGTGCTGTATCAAAGCACATTAATAGAAAGTTATGTGGAAGGGAAAAGTGTGGAAGAAAAAGGTGCACAAGCAGCAGGGATGACTGCAGCCTGGAGAGGATTGTCAGGAAAAGGCCATTCAAAAGTGTTGGGGACTTTCACAAGGAGTGGACTGAGGCTGGAGTCAATGCATCAAGAGCCACCACACACAGATGGATCCTGGACATGGGCTTCAAATGTTGTATTCCTCTTGTCAAGCCGCTCCTGAACAAACAAACAACAAACAACGTCAGAAGCTTCATCTTAACTGGGCTAAAGATAAACAGAACTGGTTCTGTTGCTCAGTGGTCCAAAGTCCTCTTTTCTGATGAGAGCAACTTTTGCATCTCATTTGGAAACCAAGGACCCAGATATGGAAGAAGAATGGAGAGGCACACACTGCAAGATGTTTGAAGTCCAGTGTGACGTTTCCACAGTCTGTGTTGATTAGGGGAGCCATGTCATCTGCTGGTGTTGGTCCACTGTGCTTCATTAAAGTCCAGGGTCAACGCAGCCGTCTACCAGGAGCTTTTGGAGCACTTCATGCTTCCTTCCGCAGACGAGCTTTATATGGGGATGCTGACTTCATTTTTCCCCAGGACTTGGCACCTGCCCACACTGCCAAAAAGCACCAAAACCTGGTTCAATGACTGTGGGATTATTGTGCTTGATTGGCCAGCAAACTCGCCTGACCTGAATGCCATAGAGAATCTATGGGGCATTGTCAAGAGAAAGATGAGAGACATGAGACCGAACAATGCAGAAGAGCTGAAGGCGGCTATGGAAAGCATCCTGGTCTTCCATAACACCTCAGCAGTGCCACAGGCTGATAGCTTCCATGCCACGCCACACTGAGGCAGTAATTGCTGCAAAAAAGGGGCCCAAACCAAGTATTGAGTACATATGCATGCTCATATACCTTTCAGAGGTCGATATTTTTCTATGTACAATCCTTGTTTTATTGATTGCATGTAATATTCTAATTTACTGAGATTTTGGATTTGGGGTTTTCATGAGCTGTAAGCCATAATCATCACAATTCTGACAAATCACGGCTTGAACTATCTTGCTTTGCATGTAATGAGTCTCTCTCATATATTAGTTTTCACCTTTAAGTTGCATTTCTGAAATAAAGGACATTTTGCACAATATTCAAATTTTTTGAGTTTCACCTGTATATGTAAAGCGCTGCATAAATTAACTGTGATATATAAGTACCTGTAATAAATAAATAAATAAAATAAAACCTTAAAGTGGTTCTAAAGACTCAAGGTTTTTACCCTCATGTATTTTTTGCATGAAGGTAAAAAACTCTGTGTGCAGTGCCCCCCAGCCCTCCCCAATCCTAACCTGAGTTCCCTCCGATCCAGCAACATTCTCGACAGCCTCTGCTGTCTGGGGACTCTTCCTCCTCATTGACTGAGACAGCAGTGGGAGCCCACTGGCCAGTGAGCCAACAAGGAGAGAGCAGGGAGGCAGGGCCGAGCCACGGCTCTATGGGTCCTTATGATTGTATAGAGCAGTGGCTCAGGGACAAGCACACAGTGGGTCCCCCAGGAAGAATGGCTTTTCCTGGGGGCACTGATTGAGGGGGAGGAGCCAGGAGCACCAGCTTGGACTCAAAAAGAAGAGATGCGCAAAATCACTGCACAGAGCAGGTAAGTATAGACATGCTTGTTATTTTAAAAAAATTAAAAAATACCCAAAGCTTTAGTGTCCGTTTAAGGGCCCTTTCACACGGGTGGACCAGTCTGTTTTTCAGACAGACCCGATTGGACCACCCATTGTTCTCTATGTAGGGTTGCCACCTCATCCCTTTATAACCGAACACATATTACTTACACAGGATCTGAGGCTAATTTAATACAGATAAGGCACTTTAATTACCAACTTAATCAGCCACAGAACCTGTGTAAGTAATATGTGTTCGGTTATATAAAGGGATGAGGTGGCAACCCTATCTCTATGGGGAGGCTGATGTAAATGAACATGTGTCCATTCTCCTCCTCCTACATCCAATCCACTTAAAACAGACAGATGGGGGATCCATTCTCTATCCATCTAGAGGACTGGATGACAGTTGTTTGTAAATGGACAGGTGGTCTGTTTCCATCCAACCGCCCCATAGAGAACAGCAGGCTGTCCTTTCCCTGCTTAGCAGTGATCAGCAAACAAATTCCCCACTGAGCAGTGGAGCAGCTTAGCGGAGTCCCCCCATGTAAGAGCAGCTTAGCGGAGTCCCCCCCATGTAAGAGGGCCCTAAAAGTGGAGTATGCTTTTGAAGCCTATGTCCAGTTTTTATTGTTTTTGTGTCTCCAGATTTCCCTTCATTTCCTTTCCCAATGATACCTGTTATCATGACAGCAATGAAAGCCTGACAAAGCTGCTAACCCTTCCCTGATCTATCAAAACCTAACATTTTTTTGCCTTGATCTGGGGCTTTAAAAATTTCTGATAATGTAGATATTTCACAGTCCATGCTGGAAAGAGCAACATATAAAATGCTGTAGGAGGGCAAACGATGTCATAATAGATGGAAGCTGTACATTCCCTGCCTACAGTACATTAAAGTGTGCAGCTCGAGGTGATCATGTTTAATGCAGTAATTAACATTTTTGTGGTTTGGCATACATTGCATTCTTGGAACTGCAGTTTAATACCTAGATATTTTGTTTGTTCTTCCTGTGGCTCATTCTGTGCCTGTCAGCTATCGCTTTCCTGTTGATAGATATCAGGTTCAGTTTGTTTAATTATTTTTGACTTTTTTCAAAGAGGAAATCTGTGTCACTGATCAATGTGCAAGTAAAACAGCTGTATGTTTATGGTTACCATGTTTTTTGATAGTACTGAAAAAGTTACTGCTTTCTGCTAAATTTGGTTTATAAAAATATTTTTTTAAAGCCAAGCAGGAGCCAAAACTGGTTAAAACAAAAAAAACATTTGAAACTGTATAATACCTTTAAGAAAATGAGAGTCTTACTAACCCTGATTCATATTGCAATATATTCTAACGAATGTGATAGCAGAGAAGCAGCTCTTAAGCAGGAAACACACCTGATTCAGCAGTGGGATCCGGGGCAGGTGCTCAGGCTTCAAAGTGTCCTCCAAACACTGGATACAAGATACAAAAAGCAGGAAGAGCCGGAAACAACAAAATCTTCATGAAAGCTTTATTAGTGATACAGGAGTGACATAAAAGCATGTTTCGTCAACAAGGCTACTTGCTTTCAGCGTACTTTTATGTCACTTCTTCCTCACTACTAATAAAGATTTCATGAGGATTTTGGAGTTGCCGGCTCTTCCTGCTTTTTGTATGCAATATATTTTAAAATATGGAACTCTCACCCGTAGGCTAAGTTTAGATTGGCGGTTGGGGGGCACCCACCAGTGCCCAGCAGTGCCCCCATCAGTGCTGCCCAGCAGTGCCACCCATCAGTGCCTATCAGTGCCGCCAGTTAGTGCCCATCAGTGCTCCCTATCAGTGTTCATCATTGTTGCATATCAGTGCAGCATCATCAGTGCTGCCTATCAGTGCTGCCTATCAGTGCTCCCTATCAGTGCTGCCTATCCGTGCCACCTCATCAGTGCCACCTATCAGTGCCCATCCACCTCAGTGCCCATCAGTGCTGCCTATCAGTGCCCATCAGTGCTTCTTGTCAGTGCCCATCAGTGCTGCTTGTCAGTGCATCCTCATCAATGCACATCAGTGAAGAAGAAAAATTACCTGTTGCAAAATTTTATATTAGAAACAAAGAAAAACTTTTTTTTTCTTTGCTCTTTTTTTGTTTATAGTGCAAAAAAAAAACACCCAGCAGCAATTAAATACCACCAAAGGAAAGCTCTATTGGTGTGAAAAAAAATGATAAACATTTCATATGGGTACAGTGTTGCATGAACACGCAATTGTCATTCAAAGTGTGACAGCGCTGAAAGCAGAAAATTGGCCTCGGCAGGAAGGGGGTATAAGTGCCCGGTAGGCAAGTGGTTAAATGCCATGGTAACAATGCTTCGCTTCGTATCCACAGGAGAAAACTATCCGACATGTTGCAATTGATCGGTGGCAAGCCCGTCAAATGTGACCCTTTAAAGCAAATGGGGAAGCATCACAAACACTTTGCAATTCATGCAGTTGCACCATGTTTGTTTGGCAAAAAATCAGGTGATGAGGAGGCATCATAATACCTCCTCACCGCCTGTCATTAGCCTCTGAAAAACAATCCATGTGGACCACTCTTCAGAGAAGTGGCAGGTTTAGATGCATGTTTAAATCTAGCCTTAGGGTCTACTGGGCCTAAGAGGAATTTGTTTGAGTATGTCCAGTGTGGGAAGTCCCACGTGACAAATCTGAGGAAACCTTTAACACACTTTACTAGGGATTGCTGTGCTGCCCCCTAATTCCGTTAGTGGGGGAAAGTCAGATATGTTCCCCATTTCAATCTCTGTCCAATGAACCACTTTAAAATCTGGAAAGAGAGATTCAAAGAGCTCTATAGGGGGCAATACTGCATGCCGTACACGGGCAGCCACAGAAATCGATTGGTAGTCCACTGGTGTATAGTTAGAGGGAAGTTTAAATAATTTTTTAAAATCTATTGCCCAGCCATCCTAAAAAAAAAGAAATAAAAAAAAAAAAAAACAAAACAGTTGTTGCTGCTCTACTTGTCTCTTATCTCTGTGGTGCTGCTCCCTTAAGACTTACCTTGCAGGATCAGTGTGTACTCTTTTAATGAAAGCTGCAGATTTAAAGCTGTAGTAAACTCCACTTCAAAAACTTGTACCTTCAGGTATGATTATAAAATGCTTATAAAATAATCTTACCTCTAGGTACCAGGGGCGGACTGACCATTTGGAAACTCGGGCACTGCCCGAGGGCCCGAAGTCAGTAGGGGGCCCCATGAGATGCCCCTGGTACCTTTTTTCATAGGCTTTTTTGAGTTTGGGCAAGGGCACAGGGGCCCCATGATCCCCTATTGCCCGGGGGCCCCATGAGTTGTCAGTCCGCCCCTGCTAGGTACAGTCATTATCTCCTAAACTTGCGTCGATATTCACAATTTCAGCAGCCAGTGATGTCACCGACGATTGCTCAGTGGGCTCTGTATTGATGAGACATGGAGTATGGCGTCAATTTAAGGTGCTGTGCCGTGATTGTGACTCCTGCGCTCAGGCACAGAAGTGACATAATCGTAGCTTGGCCATTCAAATGGCCAGAGTGCATGGACCTGGAAGGAAAACTGGGTAAAGATAAAAGCCTTGGCAGCAGTGACATAATGTGCTAGTATGTGGTGCAGACTTTACTACTACTTTAACCACTTGCCCTCCAGAGGATTTACCCCCCTTCCTGACCAGGCCATTTTTTGCATTACGGCGCTGCGTTTCTTTAACTTACAATTGTACGGTCATGCAACGCTGCACCCAAATGAAATGTACGTCCTTTCCCCCCATGAATAGAGCTTTCTTTCGGTGGTATTTGATTGCCTGTGCAGTTTTAATTTTTTTATTTTTTGCACGATTAAAAAAAAGATCGACAATTTTGAGAAAAAAAACAATATTTTTGACCTTTTTTCTATTAAACATGTCCAGTAAAAAAATGTTAAAAATCAAATTTTGTCAAATTTAAGCCAAAATGTATTCTGCTACGTGTCTTTGCTAAAAAAAAAAAAAAATCCCAATACGTGTAAATTAATTGGTTTACGTGAAAGTTATACTGTCTACAAATGGTGGTATATATACTGGAATTTTAAAATTATTTTTTTACTAGTAATGGTAGCGATCAGCGACATATAGCCAGACTGCGGCAGGCATTCTGACACTGGGGGAGGGGACTGACTTGGTGTCACTGACATCTCCTGTGACACCAAACCAATACAGTGATCAGTGCTAATAAAAAGCACTGACACTGTACTATTGGCACTGGGCAGGAAGGGGTTAACATATGGGGCGATCAAAGGGTTAACTGTGTGCTGTTTTTACAGTAAGCTGTGTCTGTGCTTTCAACTGTAAGCACACTGCTTTGTATGGCTCTGCTATGCAGAGCCATACAAAGCAGTGTGCTGGAGCTGACAGGGGAGAGAACTGTATTGTTTACTTACAGTTCTCTCTCCCCCCATCAGTAATACTTGGCGATCACTGAGTGTTGGCGAGTAATCACCGTCCGGGACTTGGTGTGATTGACAGTTGAGGCTGCGAGTACCAGCGCGGATAGGGCTCACGCGCGCCCCCTACCCAGAAATGCAAAATCATGTATATATACGTGATTTTGCGCACCCCTGCCATCCTGTAGCAGTATTTCTGTAATAGGGTGGCAGGAAAGCGGTTAAAAACACTAAAAACTTCTTTTGAAATGATATTCACTCTGAAAGGTATATGATATTTAGTAGTTTGGTTTAGATATACTGTACTTTGAAGGTTTAAACCAAGTGTGGGTTTGGAAGACCTGATGACCTGAGTTTATGTTGTCACTGTCTTCATGTGTAAGCAGTAATGACAGATTCTGAATTCATGACACACAGTTTATATGTAGAGAAGAAAGAATGTGTGACATAAAGATATGTAAAAGTTATACAGTAAGTTCCCAGGAAGTGTGACTTACACTTTCAAATTTGACTTTATATTAACACTCTCATTGCTGGAGAGCACTTGCAAGTTGTAAGAGATTTTGCAACGTGTCTCTGTCATAAACTACCAGAAGGAATTTGTGTCACTTTGTGTAGCATCATAAGTTATAGCTATGCCAAGTCTTTTAGCAGCCACAGTATGTAGTATGGATACCTTACATCATATGATGGTCTGTTGCAGTATCTTTATAACAATTTTTCTTTGGGTAAATGTTCTGTTCATAAAATGTGACTTTGTTGTATTTAGCACCTTAACCACATCCCAACCGCCCTATAGCAGATATACTGCTACAGGGCGGCAGGGGTGCGCAAAATCACACATATATATATATATATATGATTTTGTGTTTCTATGTAGGGGGTGCATGCGAGCCACGCGTGTGCCCTATCAGCACCGCTATTCACGGATGTGGCTGTCAATCACCGGGTCCCAGCTGGTGATTACCCGCTGGCGCCCGGTGATAACTTAGGATCTCCGATGGGGAGAAGGGCTGCTTTGTTTACTAACAGTCCTCCTCCCTGTCAGCTCAGGCACACTGCTCTGGATGGCTGTGCACAGCACAGCTATCCAAAGCAGTGTGCTTACAGTCAAACACCAACACACTGCCCCCCCAGTAAAACACTCCCAGCACACAGTTAACCCTTTGATCACCCCTCATGTTAACCCCTTCCTGCCCAGTGCCATTAGGACAGTGTCAGTGCCTCCCAGTGTCAGACTGCCCACCGCAGTCCCGCTATAAGTCGCTGATCGCTGCCATTGCTAGGGAAAAAAAAATTCCAGTATATATACCGCCATTTGTAAACGCTATAACGTTCACGTAAACCAATTAATTTACATGTATTGGGATTTTTATTAGCAAAGACATGTAGCAGAATACATTTTGGTGTAAATTTATGATGAAATTAGATTTTTAAAATTTCTTTACTGGACATGTTTAATAGCAAAAAGTAAAAAATATTTTTTTTTCTCAAAATTGTCAGTCTTTTTTTTATAGTGCAAAAAATTCTAAAAAACGCACAGGTGATCAAATACCACCGAAAGAAAGCTCAATTCATGGGAAAAAAATAACATAAATTTCATTTGGATACAGCGTTGCATGACCACGCAATTGTCAGTTAAAATATTGCAGTGCAGTAACGCAAAAAATGGCCTGGTCAGGGAGGGGGGTAGATCCTCAGGAGGGCAAGTACATAAAGCAAGTGTATAGTATTTTCAGTCTTTTCTAAGCAAATGTTTAATAAAGATCACCTTTATCAATTTGTGTGTAGCGCTTACCCCCACAGGAGTTGCTGGATATGATGGGCTCTCTGTTCTGCCACGACTCTTTAAGCTGCTTAGACCCCACTGACACACCTCTGTAACTTAAAGTGGAGCTCCACCCAAAAGGGGAAGTTCTGCTTTAAGGATTGGACCCCTGCTCCCCGTTAAGGATTGGCACCTTTAGAGAACGGGGGGGGGGGGGGGGGGGGGGGGGGGGGGGGAGGGGGGGTACCTGTCAATTTCAGGTACCCGCTTCTCAAAGGTGCCAATCCTTAAAGGGGAGCGGGGGACCAATCCTTAAAGCAGAACTTCCCCTTTTTGGTGGAGCTAGGTGATCAGAAGTGGAAGTTGGCCTCCCTCCCTGTAGTCAGGTCCCAAAAGACTACAAGACCATTCACAAAGTGCAGCGCTACTCACGCATGTGCAGTGGGCACCCAGCTGTGAAGCTGCAAGCTGTCACAGCCGGGTGCCCACACTGAAGATGTCAGTGCACAGGGTGGCCAGTGAAACTGGTAGCGGGGGACGCCGCAGTATCGAGGGACAGGTAAGTGTCCATTTTTTTTAAAAGTCAGCAGCTACAGTTTTTGTAGCTGCTGACTTTTTTTTCCCACTGGAACTCCGCTTTAAAGTGTTACTAAAATTACAACAGTAAAATCAGTCTGTATATGCAGTAAAGCATGCTTGTTATACTCACTGTGGAACCTAAGGCGTTAATCCTCTGCATTTTTGTAAAAAGGATGTTTGATCCTGACTTCTCTGTTCCTCCCCTTCTTCTACTGTCCCCCTCTTATCTCCTGATAAGACATATCGTGTGGAGACACTGCACATGCTCAGTTTGGTGTGTATTGCTAGAGAAGTTTTTTTTTTTTTTTATCTTGGGAGAGTGCATGAGATCAGAGTGCAGGGGTTCTACATCCTCCTAGAGAAAACTCCTCCTAAAAGCTTCAACCAGTGCTCTGTTGAACGCTGATAGAAGTCACAAGACTGCTTTAACTGCTGATGAGAAAAGGTAATTAGCAGTTTATATTTACTAAAATAATTGCATTTCCACGTTCTGTGTACTGTGGGAGACCAGATATAGTGAATGCAGGGTCCTGGGTTTAGTAACACTTTAAAGGAGATTTATGCCTGTACATGAGTTTACATAGGTAACTGCAGCTAGCATGGAGCCATTCATTACTATGTTTAAGGCCTTATTCAATCTTACTTCAATGTTATGGCTACAGTGTGTTATATTTAAAAAAAAATAAATAATAAATAAATGAAAAGGTTAAAGGATAAGTTCACTTTTTACCAAAAATAATAAATGCACATTTGTTTGCATGTAAAAAAATTGTGCATTTATTATTTTTGGCTACAGGAACCTGTAAAGCATTGCGCCAGCAATCAGCAGATCACTGGTGCCATGCAGGTAACCTGCAAACATGTCAGTATATCTGCTTGCCCTTATGGGATGTACAGCAAGCAGATATATTGACAAGAAGACTCCATGAACTACCACAGTGCTTCACTGCTAAGGATGTTGGGACTTGTAGTTTCTTATTCACAGAGGACTGTGAATGAGTGATGTGTCCAGGTGGGTGGAGCCCTGCACAGCCACTCGTTTAAAAATTGACAGCTAATGGGGGGAAAGAAGTCCCCCGTTAGCTATCAAAGCTGGGGCATGAGGGAAGTGGGGGAAGGAGGGACCAGGGCTTTCATAACATGTTACATGTTACACCCTGAAAATGGGTGTACCATGTAACATGTTATGTAAGGTGAACTTATACTTTAATTTTTGGTTTTAACACTCTGCTATATTACACTAGGGGAAATTATTATTATTATTCTGCAGGATTTATGTAATACTGATATAAAAGGAGACAGTACAGTTTCAAAACAATTCAATACAAGAGGCTTAGGAGGGCTCTGCTCCTGAGAGCTTACAATCTAAATAGCACAAAAGCAACATACTGTATCTATAAAACTAAAAAAAAAAGAAAACAAGACTCTAGTCCTAAAGGAAGGAAAGGCTCTGGGAATGAAATGGTTTAAAAAGGAATTGAGAATTGTCCAGAGTTGCTTAAAGGATTATCCATGTTTTGGAAAAGTTAAGGTGCCAAATCCCTCCCAGCTCATTGCTCATCCCTGTCATCTGCAAAGACACAAATACAAAAGCAATGGTCCTCTGTTCTGACAAGTAATGTGTTACTCTGTGGTATTGGCAGACGTACCTGGCTAAACCAAAATGTACATTGTGTTGTTGCAGAAACATTTTCCCAAAGTTTATAACCCTAAGGCTTCATGCACACTGGGCATTGTAATAACGCTGGTAACGTTAGCTGTGTAAAGTCACGTTAAAAATGTGAGTTTTTTAGGTGTTTTTTTTACCGTTTTTGCATTAGCGTTTAGCAGCATTTTGTCTTTTTTGTTTTTTTTACCAAAAAAGTTTTTTTTTTTTTTTTTTTGCTCAAAAAAGGCCACAAATGCTGGTTTGCCATGATTTACCACGATTTACCATGTTTTTCAGCGTTAGAGCGTTTTTACAGCTAAAAAACACCTCTAGAAACCCACTAGTTCTGGTGTTTTTTTCCAGCAAAAAGACGCCCCTGTCAAAAAATGCTGATTACAGTCTGTGTGTGCATGGACACATAGGATACCATGGCGGGGAGTTTACTGGTTGTAGAAAAAAATGTCAAAAGCCAAAAACAGCAGCTATAAAAATGTCCAATGTGCATGAGGACTTCCAATCAACCTTGAAACTTTGCGTCATTTCTATGACAAGAATACACCTATCATGCCAGGACTGCATTCTTCCAACAGAGCACTAAGGAAATCTTCTACTCCAGTGTAGTAATCTTCATTCCTCTTACCCCATTGCAGTCTTTACACTTTGATCACCTCTGATCTATATTCATTAATCCAGCAGTTGACGTGACATGAATCACAGACATAGTTATACTACATAATCTGTTAGTGCTCAAGGAAACATTAAACCAAGTATTTATTTCTGGAATGTATTATAAACTAAACCTAAAAGTTAGTATAAGAGAATAGATTGGAAATATAATTTAGAATTCTGTATGCTAAAGGTGCATTCCATTTGAATACATTTCACCCTACATTTCATCTTTTGCTCCTGCCCCACAAAGTACTGTATATTCTTAGAAAAATGCAGGCTAGTGTACTTCCCAGTTCAAAGGCCTCCTCACCTTTAGTACAGCAGACCATCATTTAAACTTTGTAGCATGAGAGGGAGGTTGCACAGCATAGAATCATGAGACAAGAAGATGCAGATCATGGTGAGAAATCTTCTAGCTCTACTCACACTATATGGGTTTAGGTGTTTCCATTGAACAGTATTATTATTACTACAGCATATAAGGACATTTCATGTTGTGGAGACTATGGCAAGCCATAGATGATGCAATTCTCTTTCCTGTAACCACAGGTTGTAAGAATGAAAATTGCTAGATTCCCCTACCAACACAATCAGTGTTAATGGCGGAATCCCTTCGGCAGAGCTATTGTGTTCTCTCGGTGGAGGGACGTGGGGAACCGTTCCTGTCGGGGGAACACAGTGATTATTGCTATAGACACTGGCAATAATCGTATGTAAAAATCCAACATGCTTGTTGTACCCAAGTCGTACAACAATCTAATTGGGTACAATCAGCCTGCCCATAGATGGTTTGAATATCAGCTGGTCCCTGCTGAACTGGATGAGATTTGAACCATCTATGGCCGGCTTAGTGGGCACAGATTCCCTGTGTGTGTCCTGCTCCTAAATTGTGTGTAAAGCCTTCCCAGAAGAATGGAGGCCTTTGTAGCCACAAAAGTGGGAGGGGGCAGGATAAATTTCATATTAATGCCCATGGTTTTAGAATAGGATCTCTAACAAGGTCATATGGGTGTGGTGGACAATATTTTGCCCTTATAGTGTATACTGGAAATTCAGTTTTTTATTATTAGTTATTAGTTCACTATGTAAAATACTGGTCAATATATGATATGGTACCAGTAAAAAGAACATATTTCTGTAAAGTATTCTTCAAACTGGTCATGATGAGCAGAAGCAGAATAGATGAGTGGAAGCAGAATAAGTGTCACCTGTCATCAGTCACTTCATCTTCAACATTCATGCTGTAAATGATACGTATTCTGCTCTACTGGGGACAACACTGATGTCTGGTCTCCTTCACTGAATCATTGAAGTAACATATTGTTATTATATTACTATTATTATACAGGATTTATATAGCACCAACAATTTGCACATAGCTTTCCGAAATAAAGGTAGACATTACAGTTACAATACAATTTGCTACAAAAGGAAACAGAGGGCCCTGCTCGTTGGAGTTTACAATCTAGGAACATATTCAGGATGCTGTATAATTACTGTACATTCTAAGAAGTTTGACATCATGGCTGTGCACTATATTTGTTTCAATGATAAATAGTATATAAAGCCTACAGTTCACAGAAAAATAATGAGATAAGAAGATGCAATATTGCCAAAAGGTGAGGTAAGAAATCTAACTCTAGCCACATTTTATGCATTTGGGTGTTTCCTTTGAACAGTATTATTAATACTACAGCATACAAAGACATTTTAGACAATTGCACATTTCCAACCTGGTGGTAACAGTATGGAGAAGACCTTTCTTGTTCCAGCATGACTGCCCCCGTGCACAATACCAGGCATGGTACAACCAGTTTGGTGTGGAGTAACTCGAGGGTCCTACTCAGAGCAATGATCTCAACCCTGCAGTATATCCATGGTAAAAATTGGAATGCCGATAGTGAGACAGGTTTACTTGCACAATATCAGTACCTAACCTCACAAATGCTTTCTACACTAAGGGGTTCAGATTCTCTAAATCTTGTGGAAAGCCTTCAAAGGATAATGAAAGCCTTTGGTCCTTTGAAGCCACAAAACTGTGTGTGTGTGTGCAGGGCCATGGATAAGGGGATACCACCAGTCCTCCTGTACGGGGCACAGGCCAGCAGGGGGGCCCAGAGGCAGCTGGGTGAATCTGATGTGGGCAGGGAGGATGATCGGGGATCCAATCCCCTGTACAGTTTTCCTCTGGCTTTCAGCTGCTGCAGAGAGAGCCATATCAGGGATCGGTTCCAGTAATTGCTTCCCCGCCACACCCATGACCCTCCCCATGTACCAAACATTTCTCCCTGCTGCCCAAGCCCCCCTGCAGTGCTACCGGCCCCCCTCCTCTCCTTCCCACCGGCAGCTGCAAGCACACAATATGATTCCCAAGGATGGAGAGTGGGGGAAGGGTTATATATATATATATATATATATATATATATATACAGTTGCAAGAAAAAGTATGTGAACCCCTTGGGATTACGTGGAGTTTTGCATGAATTGGGCATAAAATGTGCTCTGAACGTCATCTAAGTCACAACAATAGAAGAACACAGTCTGCTGAACATAATACTACACAAACATTAGATGTTGCCATGGTTTAATTGCACATAACATGTAAACATTCACAGTGTAGGGAGGAAAAAATATGTGAACCTTTGGACTTAATAACTGGTTGACCCTCCTTTGGCAGCAATAACCTCAACCAAACGTTTCCTGTAGTTGCAGATCAGACCTGCACAACGATCTGGAGTAATTTTGGACCACTCCTCTTCACAAAACTGTTTCAGTGTAGCAATATTCTTGGGATGTCTGGTGTGAATCGCTCTCTTAAGGTCAAGCCACAGCATTTCAATCGGGTTGAGGTCAGGACTCTGACTGGGCCACTCCAGAAGGCGTATTCTGTGCTGTTGCAGCCATTGTTTTGTTGAATTACTTGTATGCTTTGGGTCATTGTCCTGTTGCATCACCCATCCTCTGCGGAGCTTCAGTTGGCAGACAGATGGTCGTACGTTTTCCTGCAAAATGTCTTGATAAACTCTGGAATTCATTTTCCCATCAATGACAACAATCCGTCCAGGCCCTGAGGCAGCAAAGCAGCCCTAAACCATGATGCTCCCTCCGCCATGTTTTACAGTGGGGATGAGGTTTTGATGTTGGTGTGCTGTGCCTTTTTTTCTCCACACATAGAGTTGTTTGTTCTTCCCAAACAACTCAATCTTGGTTTCATCTG